CCGCTCCCGGCCACCGCAGCCTCGACCTGCTGGGCTCCGGCGATCCTTCCCCCTCAGCCTACCTTACAGGCATGCGCTACCACGCCCGGCTGATTTTTTGATTTATTGTAGAGATGAGGTCTCGCTGCCCAGGCTCAGGCAATCCACTCACCTCAGCCTCCCAAAGGCGCAGGATTACAGGCTGAGCCACCCAGTCCGGCTGAGTACTTCATTTGCTCTGCAAAGCTAGGGACCCCCTGGAGGCATCTGGAGCCCAAGCCACCCTCAGAAATCTAGCCTCAGCCCTGAGGATTGGTTGCAGACACAATGGGCTAGCAATTAAAGAATAAACCACAAGACAGTTTAAGAACCACCTAGGCACTACAGTGATCTCTGGAGCATTCATTGGTGGCTTCTCCTGGGGACCTACTAATTTGTAAGAGTCCTGTCCCACTGACCATGACCATTCGTGTAGAATGTCCTCTTTTTCATTTGAGAATAGCTATAGAGGAGGACTTGGGTTGGTGGTGCTTGTATATGTGTGTGTGCAAGTGTGTGTGTATGCTAGAACATATTTTTCTCCTCCACAGACATGTGGGTGGCTAACTGGAACCTACTACAGGCGTAAGTGGTTAGGGTTTACGTAGGAAGGAGTGACTGTTTATGAGGTTTAGGAGGGAACATACTTATATAAACTATTTTCTGGAATATTTACAATCTTACCAAGAGATAGAGAGTTGAATAGCAACTGTGGAAAGAAATTGTTCAAAGAGTAATTGAAATGCTCCACCTCTTCCTGCCCCCTCATTATTTAGCTTCTGAATCTGCAGAGGATTAGCCACCAGCACTTGGTGGCTGGCAGAGGAAACTAGGATTTTCTCTTCTTGCTTGATAATAGAAGACACAGAGGTCCAGGGAATGAGATTTTTTTTTTCTGGAATGCCTGGGCTTTTGTGGCTCTCATGAGATCAACTCAGTAATCCCCACAAGAGAGTGAAAATACAGGTTGGGCATTCCTACTTTGAGAATCTGAAATCTTGACGTGTTCTAAAATCCAGAACTTTTTTGAATATCGACAAGATGCTCAAAAGACATGCTGGTTGGCACATTTTGGATTTACAGATTAGGAATGCTCAACCAGTACGTATAATGCAAATATTCCAAAATCTGAAAAAATCTAAAACACTTCTGGTTCTAAGAATTTTGGGTAAGGAATACTTAAGCGGCATTAACTCATTTCATACCTATACCGTTTTAAGTTTGGTACTCTTAAGTTTGGTACCCTATCATACAGATGCAAAAACTGGGAGACAGAGAAGTGAAGTAATTTGCCAAAGGGAACATGGCTAGTAAGTGATCCAAGTGACATTTGAAGCTGAGGAAAAGCAGCAGATTTTAAACAGACCCACCACGTGGTATACTATACAACTCTGCCAATTCTTACAGCAACTACTCAGGACTGCCCCTTCCCAAAATCCTCTCTCAGGATTTTGATTATGGGCTTTTCTGAATAGGACACTCCCCA